CAGGATTGAGGATTATGATGGGGTGGCACAGGACAGCTGTGGTCATTATAATCCCAGGACTATGGGGCCTCCTCACTGTGCTTAGCATCACACAAACACATAGCAAAAAATTGTCCTCACTCAGTCCTTACATCCCAATTATTGTCCTCACCACCTGGGCACAGAGGACCTGAGTGACCCAAGGGTGCCATTTCCTATGTGCATTGCATTTGCTCACTCCGTTTCACACTTACTCTGCTGCTGACTACAGAAGCCATGCTTCTGTGAAAATACTATAGACCTTATTCTTATAAATTACTTTCTAAAGAGCTTTTAATATTTTCAAAATGTTCTAATTAAGACATTCAAATAAGCAAGCAGCCAGATGAATACATAGTCAATGTATTCAAGACTGAGATAAACAAAATGGTCAGAATTAATGTGATCTTGCATGCTCATCACACTTACAATGTATATTTTATGTCAAAATAATGTTTCTGTAGCATTTATAGCACTGTGCCACAGTATTTAAAAAAAATGCAGTAAGTAATGGTGATGAACAACATCCTGTCCAAAGGAAATTCAAGAACAGGCTTTGCTTAAAAAAATCTGCTAGTGAGTATGGGGCTATTACTAATTCTTACAAGTGCTGTGGCTTTTGATACACAACAGACAAAATAATCTAGATGGTGCTGCAATGTTGATACTCTGAGAAAAGTGTTCTTTAAAGGGCAGCCTTTCACCAGGAACTGCTCTTTGACGGGTAAATGCTTATGGCAACAGCCTTGACAACTTATATTCACCTCTTCTGTGTGTGTCTTAATACCTGTCAGCCAGAGATGCTCAGCAGACAAGTTACATGCCTGAGATGTCTCCTTATGCTTAAATGCTACAATAGATTTCTTTTTATTTTCAGTGTAAGATTTTATCTGGCTCTCAGAACAGCTGGACACCTTTAGTCAGCACTGAACCCCTCCTAGGTAGGCTGGTGGTCCTCTTCCTCCATAGTAATGAAGCTGAGGTAGCACTAGAGCCTTTGTGCAAGACACTGCTTTTGATAAAGCTGCGCTACAGAATAAAGGGTTGTTCTGGCAGTGAAAAACTTCCCAAAGTCATTGTAGGATGAAGCCCTCCAGAGCCGACTCGGCTGCAATTTTTTTAGAAGTCTGATGTGTGACACTTTGACTCCCACAGCCCAACACACCACATGCCTGTGGGGAGCATCACTGTGTATACCAGGGCAGAGGGGGAAGATCATGAAGGAAGATGTGTTTATTATCAGACCAAATAAGAGCACACAGGAAAGGACTTCCTCTGTGTTTATTTAAAAATAAATATTGTAGAGTTGGAACAGAGGAGAACACCTTCAGGGGCATCAGTGCAAAGTTCATAGCTGGACACTGTGATATTACAAATCTATTAAGAAAAATAAGTTTGAAAGTAAAACAAGGTAGTTATTTTTGAGTATGATTATCTCAGTCATGGTAACATTAAAACACCACCAGAATGGCTCAGCTCATAGTTACTTTACAACTTTTCACTTTTCTAAGCTGTACACAGCTGCTATTTGGGCATGAAGTTAAATTTCTACATGTGAAGAGAGCTTCTGACACTCCTTGTTCTCCCTGCATAGCTGCATTCTGAAGTCCACTTAATACCTTTCAGGAATATGTTTGCCTCTGGCTTTCTAATTGCTGATGATTAGAAGCCAGATGTAGAAAGAAGAACTCTGTTCAGCCCAAACACTTTCCCAAATGTAGAAGGCAAGCTGATTGTGATTTATGCATCATATCCTCTAAAACAGTGTTTCTCAGGGTCAGTCTTGTACAACAAATAAAATCCACCAATACCTGAACTATGTCTCTTGTTCTAGGATTTCCCTAGCAGGAAATCCAAATCCTGTGTACTGTAGATATACCCTAGTGAGATAATTATTGTTCTGCCAGGTTGTTGTAAGCAACACATCTGATCAAAGGCAAGGGAAAGGAATATAATTGCCATGTGAATTGTTGGAAGTCCAGTTTTACTGGCAGTATATGTTTTGAGATTGCATGGAACCACATGCATGTTGAAAACTACCTCAAAATTGATTTTTTCTTCATGTAAATGGAATATTTGTGTGGTCTGATGCTGAGTGGATGTGAAAGACTTATGCAAGACAAGTGCCCAAGAGAGAACCAGAGGCTTGCTGCCAGTTGTATCAGAAAAGCAGGTGAAAAACTTAGAAGAGGCTACAGGTCCATTTTCAGGTGTGGTGAATATTTTAGGTGGATTTAAGTTGTTTTAAAATGTATGGTTGACTTCCTGTGTTGAATTTCAAAGAACCACCTGTGGTAGTAAATGGGGCTTGAAATGGCTTCCATTTTAAGGAAGGGTTTTGTCTTTTTGTGTCAGAACAGATTGAAATGTGTGTGTGTTCATATCCATATTTTGCTCAGCCATCATGTATTTTCTTGGATTAGAAGCCTCTGAGGTGCTAAAGGTATTTGCATATATGTTACATTTGGAAGTGGCCTGTGACTTTGAAGCATTCATAGCTGTGAAGCCAATGCAGTTCTCAAAGTTTTTCTGTTCTGCTTTCCTCCTCCAAGACTTGCTGGAGGAGCCTTTGCACTTGCTTTATCCTCTGAGATTCCATGGAAATCTGGCAGCTGGATTTAACTGGTTTTATTTGTATTTCTGATAACTGTTCTACAGTGCAAGCATCTTCAGAAACATGTTGATTCTATACCCTGAAAAATATGATCCTCCAGGACAATTCCCATGTATGGGATGAAATTCTCTCTGCACTGAAGCCAGAAAGGCTTCTTGCCTTTGGTGGCAGAGTTGTTGTGTAGAAGTCTCCTGCAGAGTGCAGCCATCAGTTGCTAATGTGTTGAACATCTGAGATGGGAATGAAGGTGGAAGTTTTTATCTTTATATTGTGCAGCTTTAATGGAAAGATCCATACTGCCTCTTTTGAGCAGTTGCAGCAGAGTTCAGAGGACAGGAAATTGAGCAAGTTACTACTGTGCTTTCTCTTTTCTCCACTGAGATCTCCATCCTCCCCCTCTGCCCCACCCTTGATTTTCCTCCCTTGTTTCAATAATTGAAAGATGCTCAAAACATCAAATTTTGTTCCTCTGCTATGGAAAACACCACCACCACAATTTAGTCCTTTTATTCTAAAATAAAATTTTGTAAGTCTACTTAAGAGGCATTAGCAAAACACCTGCCTCTTTAATTTAGCAATGCTTGCTGCCAAGCATGTGCTGCTGCTTGGGCTTCATGTTTGTTATCTGACACCTCAGTCATGCTACAGAAAATGTTGCATCTGTTCAGTTCTGGCTGAGATTGTTCATTTCCTTCTATTCAGATGCTGACTTTTCAAGTCTTAGCATATTGTTTACTTTGCTGCTTTTTCATCCACAGCCGTGTTTATAGTGGGAAGGCAGGCAAGGTTTCCTGAGAAGAGTTGTGCAGTGAAACAAAGTACTGTTATTTCTGAGGGTGTGGAAAGTATTCTTCACCTATTAGACTATCATGTGCCTAATGCTGATAAAATAATACTATTAATGTACTTAAAATGGTCCTCTTAATGGAACTGAGAATGTCAGAATTTGCACCCAAGATACACATGTGTGATCAGAAATAATTGCTGAAATAAGCTGCTGGTTATTCATATTCTCCATCTTAGAGACACCTTTGGAAGGACGTTGTGGTCAGCAAAGAGGGAAAAATTATATAACTGTGTCGTGTCCAGCTTAGTACTATATGGATTTCTCCAATATTTGATTCAAATATACAAAGAAACTCCAGTAAAAATATTTACCTACTACTTTCTCCTTTGAGACTGTGCTATTAGACTGTGCAAACAAGCAAAGGCACTAACACTCACAGAACAATAATTAAATATATTTGTTTAACAGGTTAAGTGCAAAATAGAAGACAAAAATCCAAAGTAGTAACTGATGGGTGCTGCATTGTCTTTCCTGGATGATCCTGATTTATTTTTAATAGTGGTTTAACAAAAAAGTCTTTTAAAATTGTGCATGTTTTAAATAAGCAGTCTCTGATGCAGAGGATTGTACTAAGCAGAAAAAGAGCAGCTGTTACTGGAAGTTACAGTTAATTGTTTTATTTTCCAGCACAAGGTTGTTTGGTGGGAACAGTGGAGAAAAAAATGCAAGCAACTGCCAAAAAAACAAGCATGTGAGGTGAAACTTGAATTTGCTCTCATGAGAACTTTCTAAGATTCATAAGTAACTGAGGAAAGCAGGCTGTATTTAAATCTCTGGAGATGTATGTGCTGTGTGGAGACACAGCACAGCACACAGTGCTGGCAGGAGAGGGGAAGGAGGACACAAAGTCACAAATACTGATGATAGGAGGGTAAGGCTCATCAGGATGGATAGAGGATAAAATGCCTGCTGCCACCTCATATACTTTTGTTGGGGTTTTGTGTGTTTGTTTGGGATTTTTGTTTGTTTTTATTTTTCTTTAGTGGCTTTCAGAGTAAATTTGAAGCCCCTATCCTTTCCCTTGCTCCCACAGCACAGGTTTCCTATGCTTTTTAAATGAAACAAGAAAAGCATGCCTCTGTTACAAACCTGTAGAGGAGAAGATGGATAAATTAGCCAGGGGCATTTTGTGAGCCCTGCAGGTCAAATCTGATGTGATACATGTATGCTTAAGAGCAAGCTCTGGAGAGGGACTTCAGCAAAACACCCCACCTGGGCTCTGGCTGTTAGAGCAGTGGGAAAGCCGTGGCAGAAAGTGTCCCTGGGCAGGCTGAAGGGGAGCAGGGCCTGGCCAGGAGGCCCTGGTGGTGTGGGTGGCACTGCCACTGCTCTGCTCTGGCACTGCTGCTGAGCCACAGGGGCTGTGCTCTGGGAATCCAGCTTGTTAGTCCTTCTGTTCTTCCAGCACAAGGCTGTAAAACATTGTAGGACATAACAGGCAGCTGTTTATTTCTTCAGTCTTTAGGTGCCAGAGGGAGATTTCTTTTATATATATATATAAAAAAATAGCGCTGGAATGCATTTATTAGGAATTGACTGTATTTATTTTGAACCACAATATTTTAACATCCAGATCCACAGACAAAACTCCAAGAAAGTAAAACATCTGCCATACTCTGAGCTCAGTTCTCTGATCGCTTATCCTTGCCTGTATTGCCACCCATTGTGAATAATTTCACTGACTTCAATAAAACATGCAGTAGCCAACTTTTAACTCGATACTAAGTTTAGCTCTAAAGAACAAACACATTGCTCCCAAAAAGAACAAACCCAAAATGAAAGTTGAACAATAACCTGAAATTAATTTCTTTCAACATTAAAATCCAGACTGATTACTATTAACTCATTAATCAAAACCTCTTTCAGCTAGAAAATTTGTTGCCAACTGTTATTATTACTAGTTTAATGTAAAAGTGTGACCACTGAATATCAGTTTATATTAGGAAATTGCATAGTTCATACAAAGTCAAAATACTGTTTTGTTTCTTATAAAACAGCTAATGTCTGTGTAAGTTTATGGAATGAGGTGATTGTTATTGTTCCCATTACATTATGGAGATACTGGTCATGGTTTTGTAGTAAATAATCAGCTGAAGTTTGTCCTGAAAGCAGAAATAGATTCCTTGAAATTTAAATTGTCATCAGAGACAGGTCTATAACATCTTGTTACTGAATGAAGTTCTGGCTTTTGTGAATCCAGGATTAATTGTGATATTAATACCATGTGTTCCCAAAGAATTTGCAAAATATTAATTTTGAATGATTAATTAAAATTTAAATTATTTAAGCAAACACAGAATTGGCAACAATTTGAGAGCATATTTAAGACATTGTTATGCTATCACACTAGTGTGTCACTGCTTAAGATTTGCATGTTAACAACTTCAGGCAAGTAAATGCCACTCATACAGAAATTCTGTGCATAGGAATGGCATGAATAGGAAAAACAAGCTTTTATGTTTGATAGACAGAACATGTTGTGATCAAAAGGATTTTGAGAAAATGAACAACTTTATGTACCTTGGCCAATGCACAGGCATACAGCAAGTGTGGGCTAGTTCCTGAGTAGGCTGTATAAATAAACTGCCCTTTTCTCATTCCTGACCTGTATTCTCCTTTTTCCCATGTTTTCCATGGTGGATTGAAGAAGCAATATAGTGATGCATATGGAGCCTACTGACTATGCAAAATTCTAAGACAAGTGATAACCTGCCCCTACCATTCTGGATAAAATTGGTTACTTCTGGTTAATTAGCTGTTTGTTTTCTGCACAGATATTTCTTATTAGATGTTGCTGTCAGTGGAAGAGCAAGTGCTTTTCAGAGCTGAGGGCGGCCCTCAGGCTGGTTCTACCTCTGTAATCCTGCAGACAGAGAAGGTTGGCAGCCACCTGGGAGTGCTCATGCCCAGGGATGGCCAAGGGGTGAGAGACAGCACTCACTGCAATGGTGGGGTAAAACAAAGGATAGTCTGCAACTGCATTGGCACCCCGTCTTGCTTTATGTGGTGCAGTTCCTCAATAGACAGGACAGAGGATCTAGCTTGTCTCTGCTGCCAACAAAAGGTTTAAAATTAGGAAAAATTTTCACATTTTACTTTTGATTTTTCTCTGCTCAGACTGAGAGCTGTTTCTATATGCTCTCCCTTCTTGTTCCTGAGACTCTAGCCAGTGATACAGGGATGCAATAAAATGTGCATGGATATAGCAGAATTTAGCCCACAGCAGAGAGCCACTGAATTAAATGAGCATTTTCCAAAGGGCTGATATGTCTCTGGGCAGCCTGAGTTCATTAGGGTTATGTAAGTTTTCTTAAAAACATAATTAAAATTGGAATTATACTCCCCCAAGTATGCTGCAATATCTGACTTGGAGCTGCAGCAAGCAGAGCTTTGCTTGACCTGCTATTTCTTTCCCTTTGCTGCTGTGAATTTGGCATGGCATCCCAGGGAGTGTGATCAAAACAAGCAGTGACAAAGGCCTGATTTCCCCAAATGCTGAGGCAGGTTCTGACCACGGTATTTTGTAAACATCTTCTGCAGATACTGCACGGAAGTGCACAGGCTATTAGTGACAGCACAGAGGACTCCTCACTTCAGGAGTGAAATCAGGAATGCAGTGTGGAATTTGAGAGAACAGAGTTCTGGGAATCCAAAGGGAAGAGCACCCTGAAATGAGTGAATTGAATGATGCTCTGAAGTTTAGCCATGAAAGTAGCTCAGGAGCATTGCTGAATTGGATGTCTGTTTATTCATGATCACCACCACCAACCATGGATAGATGTATACATAATAGAAAGAAATTTTGCTTTAACTGAATACATTCAATTCACAATGATTAAGCAGAAATAATTTTGTTTTCAAGGCTGGATATTTAGGAAGGAATATAGGTCCAACCATTTTTCTTTAGTGAGAGGTAACTCACCCAGAACTCTGATGTGGATCTGACCTTCCTTGGGGAATTCAGATCTGGGACTAGCTCTGAGACCAGTTTCTAATTTTAATTACTGCTACCACATTAAAAATTGCTCCCACAATGCAGATGAAACCCACCAATATAAATCAGCAGCACCAGAACTTTTTAAAGCTTATACAGACAGAGGCTTTGTGCTGACCTCTGCACAGCATCAGTCTCTTGCTGGGCCATCTCCACAGGAATGAATTGTATTCATAAAGCACAGCGGAAGAGATTCAGATTAGTATTCTACATAAGGCTTTTAATATTTGGCAGCATAAAGGTCAAGTAAATAATCTAAAAATAACTAAGCATTAATGCTATGAAGACCCTGTGCAGAAGTTACCCTTTGTCTCTTTGGTGCTGATCTTACAACAAGCAGTTTTTACTTTTGTGATCATATTGTGAATTACCAAACATAATGGCTGAGGAGTTGATTTCTTGCTGATCAATAGTGGCTCCATAAACTTTAGTGAAGTTATTTAAAACCATTTCAATTGGCATTTAGCCAATTTGGTTATTGTTTTAAATGTTTAGGCAAGCCATTCTTAACAAGTGAGTGATGCTCTTGCATATTAATTCAGCACTGAACCTGTTAACTAGCTGTGCATGCAATTTTGGATCAATATCTCAACTATTTTCAGTTAGTGTCATTAAGATCATATGAGTTGAATTAACAGGTCAGTGCTTCATCTCACTACAGTTGCATCTAGGATAACTTGACCTAAAAGACATATGAAAAGGACAATTTAGCCTTCCCATACTCAAGATATCAATTTTGCATGTGATCAGCCCATTGTTTCATGGAAAGACTTCAGTTTTGAACTTCTGTACAGAATTTCTGCTTTGAAAGGTGAATTTCTAATAGAGATATATGGGTTTCATACAGGGGTCCAAACAACCATTTGCATAAAAACTCCACAACACAAGGACAGACAAATTTCTTTGCTTCTTATGCCATATTGGTCAATTCATATTTAGTATGCACATCTTTGTCTTCTCCTGACTGAGGATCTGAGTGATGAATTTCAATAAAAATTACATAGGTCATTGCTCCAAGTACACCTCCCAGCAGAGGTGCAACTATAGGAACCCACCACCAATTATTACCAGCCCTGTAAGACAAAAAGAACAAGAATTAGTGTTATTTGTTACTCTGGTGAACACTTTCCTGTGAAGTAGTCACTGAACAGATCCAGTGGTGTGCCACTTGCTATACTGTTGACCTTTCTATTTTGTCTTGTGTTTATATAACTGGGTGACACCCTCATCTGCCCTACCCGGGCTGGTTCTGATTGAAATGATAAATATCAAGCACCAGACATGTTGTTCTGTGTGCTGTACTTGCATTTTAGAAAATAAAGCCTTTTTACTGCATGTCTATTTGGGGACAGAGGATGATTTCTCCCTTGAGAAAAGCACATTCCACTGACTTGCAGTGAAATGAACAGGCACATATTTATTGCCCAGCAATCTTCACTTGTGCTGTCCCCAGATGCTTGTGAATAGATTTTCAGGATGTTGCAAAAGTGGCTTATTTCATCTGCATGGAAACTTGCAAGTTCACACCTCCAATAGTACATACCATCTTCCTCTTGGCAAATGTAATAAACTGAATTCTGAGTATATTTACCTTAAGCAATGTAATAAAACACAGTGACTGTAAAGTTGATTATCCTTGACTGGAATGGTCAAGATTCAAACTTCATGAGGTAGAATGTTATCTCTATGTTTAAAATGTGGCATCTTTCAGCAAGATGCAAATACATGCTTAGAAGTTTTATACACCTAAAACTTAATCTTAGAATTTTTGTATTCACTAAGTCTAGCATGCTGATTCCACTGAAATGTTTACATTTGCACAATTACTAGGATTTAATTTTAATATGTAGATTTACAGGCATATTTAAAGTAAGACTTCCACTATTGAACTGTATAAAACAATAAATAACAACCTTTGTATGCAGGAATATTGGGCTGGTAGAATTGCTCTCCTTTTCCTAGAGGTCCACATTCAGACAGTAAATAACTGAGTATCCATGTGAGAGCACAGAGTCTCTTAACTGTACTGATGCATTAAGGTGTTTTTATTTGATAACATGCTGTATTAATTGAATGTGTGAGTCTCCAGTGAAAATCCAGCTACCTCAATTTCATGCATATTGAAAATGGAGACTTTTTTTTCTCCTAGAAATACAAATGGACAAATTAATCTGTAAGACGAACTTTACAGGAAGCTGCAGGGGAACTTTTAAACTGTCAGGATAATTATTCAGCACTCAGTTGTATAGCTTTATGCAGAGCTTAACTTGTGTTTGTCACAATGCAAGAATAGAACTGGGAAAATATTGGTGCCCTGTTGATTATACTATTACTGCTTGTTCTGAAATGCCTTGCATGTGTATGTTTTACCTTTGGAATTATTTCTATTTTGCCCTGAGGATATAAAGTAACTTTTGATGTAGTTTTACTGAGTTTATAAACCTGTTTGTTTTGGAATCATGGATGGTCGTTGAGCAGTTGAATTTCTGGAACAAGCATGGACTTCGGTTTTATTGAATTAATCAGCAGAACAAAAGCTATATCAAGTACTTGCATGTATTCTTCTGCATGATGTGTTTATACCTGGGTATGTAATGGAGGTGTTTCTTGGCAGGTTTCTCTCAGCTCGTTCCATGACTGGCCTGTGCCTTGTCAGCTTCTGCAAATGGTGGCCTGTATTTGCAGCAGCTGCAGTCAGCTGTGCGTTGGATGCCCTGCGCTGAGATGCTGGGTGCAAAGCCTTTGGAGAGGCTGCTGCCAAAACTGCAGTGAGGTCAGTCAGCACCCGGCCGAGTTTCTGTGACACTCGGTGCTCTGTCACTGGCACAGGAGCGGGAACTCTGTGACAAGCACAGATGGCCAAAGGCCCCTCGGTGCCCTCCGCCCCCGGCTGTGCCCCGAGCGCTGTTTGCTGCCGCCTGAGGAGAGCGCCCAGCCCCGCCTCTGCCACCGCGGCTGCTCGGGGCGCTGCGCCGGTGCTGCCTGTGCCGCCTGGCCCGCAGAACTGAGCTGCCCGCGGGAATTCCTGGGACATTAGAGTGTCTGAGCTACAGGGACTGGGAGCTTGGGCCCGGTTAAACTTGCAGATACACCTTTCACTAGCCAGCTGCTGCGGGAAAGGTAGATACCGAGGTAATCCGGGCTGCACCCCGGGAAGAATGCAATAAAAGCTTCTGAGGCCGCTTTGCCATCCAAATGCCTGTGCAGACAGGAGATTGGCCTCCGGACCTTGCCGGCAGTGCAGTTCTGTTCTGCGCTGCCGCCCTGTCCTCGGTGCCGGCGGCCACGAGGTGTCAGCGTTACCGCGCCGAACCGCGCTGGGTGTGCCGGGCTGCCTTCAGCTGCTGGCACCGAACACTGCTCTGGGGAGCCCTGCCTCTCTCCCTCTTATTGCTCGGTTCTGCTTGTCAGAATCCAGTCTGGTATTTGGACTCAATGCTCTGGCTGTTTTCTCACTACAGACGATACTTTGCTTCCCAAACATTTCTTAAGCTTATCAAAATATTAAGCATGTGCCTAAGAAAGACTCCTGGTTTTCTGATGGGAGCTTTTAACCAAAACAAACCATTTGCATGGGCTAGGGAAACCACACTATAGCTTGTGTCTTCGGGCTTGGTTTTGCAGAAAATGCTTCTTCAGGTGTTGTGCAAAATGTAATAACAGCAACATTTAGAAAACCCTCAATGCTCAAATGCATCATCTGGACCATTCCAATGTCCAGCAAGAAGGGCTCTCCTCCAGTCTAGATCCCTGCCTGAAAATAGGATAAAACCGACGTTTATTATACCTTCAAGCACAAAGAAGGGTAGAGGGGATTTCTCTGCTGTGAGGTAATTCTCCTGATGTTTAGAGCATTTGATTGTGAACAGTGTAGAAAGTCTTGCTAATCTGTATCTGATCTATTCCAAAGTGAGGCTTTCCTGGTGGTCCTGGCTGTTCTGTAGGCGATGCTTGAACACAGACTCAGTTGGCTTGGGAGCTAAGCTTCCTCCCCCAAAGAACGTTCAGTGTCTCCTGCGTAGTTCCTACTGCTCGGTTTGTACAGAACTCCCCTCGTGTCCCTTTGGAGGTTTCATGCTCAGGTCCCAGTTCCTGGACATACCTTTACTAGAGAGCTTAAGCACCTGTCTCAAGGTTGTGAATTCCATTTAAAAGAAGATATCCAAGGTTTATTTTCAACTGTTAATGCACCACTTTAAGTTGCTCAGATACAGCAGAGTATCAGGCAATATAGGATCCTGACTACAATCATTCAGCTTTTTCCCATGGCTCTTCCAGCTACCTAACAAGTTTCAGGTTCCTCCTAAGTCTCACCTGGATCTGTGCAGTAAATAAGTAAGAACATATTCCTGTTGTATCATTCCCTTGGACTTGGTTATAGCTGTAGCCTTTTAAATGAAGGTAGGGAAGAAGGCTTCTTCCTCAATTTTTCGCATCCGTTATATTATTTTAAGTTCGGGCAAGGATCAGAGATCTTGTATGTTATTTTTTATGTTCACACTTTAAAATTTCTTAACAAGGTCTATACAGTGGGACTGCATTCTCTCTCTTATACAAAACCTTAACTACACTAGGAAAGAGTCCATATTGGTATAGATGTAGAGTTTTCTTGTAGTTTTTTTCATGTAAATGAGCATGACCATGCTTTTAGGGAGAAGGGCAGTTCACAGGTATTCTGTGACTAGATCACCGTACAATCAGGCTTCCAAACTTTCAGGAATGTAATAGCCAACTTCATAATACATTACAGATTATACACTGACACCATGGCTAATACCACAGCCAAAACTAGTTGTGATTACACAGGTATGAGAGAGGAGAATCCTGAGCATAGGATGTCGCTCTGTGTATCCTTGCTTTTTAAAAGAGTGCAGTGGTAAGAGCTACAGGGGAGGAAAGTTTGGATGTAGTCAGACCAATGAGCTGATGTCCCACCAGCAGCTGACCAGAGCTGGGCTACATCCAGCCTTGGCTCTGGCCTGTGCTGTGGCTGTGTGCCTGTTTCAGCTATGCCATGCCTGGCTCTTTTTGTATGCGAAAAGCTTTGCTACTGCTTTCCTCAAACAAGGTACATGATTTGTGTAAATAGAAATCATACTGAATAAATAGAGATTATTTGTGCTTCTTTTATTTCTTGCTAAAATAAAATCTCTACTAACCAGAGCTCTCCAGTGGCCTACAATACTACTGGGGATTCCTACTTGTAAATAACTGGGAAAACAAGCAATACTAAAATATCTGCTTCCTGGTGACAGATTACTCTTGCTTAGATACCCCAGAGTGCCTCTTACCCTGGATACATGTAAGATGTGGATTTGATGTGCAACTAATTAGCCATGCATAGGTCCAGCCAAGAGCGTGTGCGTGCACACACGGGGATTTGAGAGGGCTCTGAAATGTGGGAAAATGAAGGGAGCTTTCCCATTCACTCCTTCATTCCCAGCCAGGAATCAGGCTTTTAGATTGCTGTATATTTCTGCAGTAACTCAGAAGTAATCATAGGCTAAATCAATCTGATATGTCTCTGTTTTTTACAGTACCCAATAAATATTTCCACCTAATTCTCTCCCGATTTTTTTTTTTCCTGAAAGCTGCTGGATACAAGAAGAAAGCACTCATATTTTCAGTGACCTCTAAGAAGCTCTAATATTTTGGGAAAGGTCTTCTTGAAACAATGATTGATATTAGAGATTATGCATGTTTGATTTGCCCTAGGAGCAGGAAATCCTTTTTAAAGCCCAGTTCCTAGAGGATATCTGGCTTAAAGTGCATGAATAGCTGCTTCTGGTATGCAAAGAATTACCTGTATGTATATAAAGTATGACTTGGTACCATGTTGAATCAGGATCTTACTTTCCTAGAAACAATTTTAGCCAGGAGCATTTGACTTCATCTCCAGGCATACTTACGTGAATACTTCCATCCCCCATCCTGCAACAGCCGTGAAGAGCCTTGGGCCAAGATCCCTGGCTGGGTTCATAGCACAGCCACTGTTCATTCCCAAAGAGCAAGTAAGAACAATTATAAGAAGTCCTACTGCAATTGGCTCCAGGCCCTTGGGTACGCTGTTATTTTTGGTGTCAAAAATAGCAAATATAGCCAGAAGAAGAACAGCTGTTGACATCACCTGGCCAAGGCAAAGAAAAGAATATTGAATAAATAAGTGTAGATTCTTTCCAATAATGAAAAGAGGAGCTATGGCAGCTTTGTGGATTGGAGAGGCTTAGAGCTGGTATTTAGTTTTATCCCACTATATGGAATAGCAAAATTTGGAACTCGGTGCCTTTCTACTTCACAGTAATGAGAAGTTTTGATATCTGTGCTGAAAGACAAAGATGTGGGGAAATTTAAAAAAAAAAAGTGCAACAATCAGATGATTTAAAAGGCATCTCCTGTGTGAGGTCTAATGCTTTTTCACATTTTTTTCCTGTCAATTTTACACTTTTATTCACTTCATTTTTAGCAGTTCTGCCACTATAGCGATGCAATCGGTTCCATTGATATAGAAGTGTTTTATGTGATTGTAGTTTATGCTGACAATTTAGGCTAGATATGCATCTCTTTATCCAGGTATTGTAAAATATCAGAAGAAAAAGTGAAATCTATCAAGTCAAAACTGAACAGCTAAAATTAGAAAGTATCCAAATTAGGGTTGCATGTATAACTGTACCATGAACTTTGTACTGCATATGCTAATTGAGGTGATGAAGGAAATTTTCTTGGAATTACTTCAATCCAAGTACAGCTTTGCTTAAATCAAATGCTTTGTCAATGTTGATTTTGCTAATAATTAACTTGATGGGAAAACAGACAAAAGCTTCAGCAATGTCAAAATGTTCAATTTCGATACTGATTTGAAGAAGCTTAAGTTTGAGGGGTTTAAAAATTATTTGTTTTTCGTCTGCTTTTAAGATTGTTTTGAAACATGCATGGGTAAAAAATATCTTAGGGAAAATTCTGTTGACTGATCCAAAGATCAGAACTGTGTTACAGAACTTCAAAATAACATTTAGATTTTTTTGAAGCCAGATTGCACAATCTTTTACATAATGAATTTTTGTATTTGTGCCATCCCTTTTTTTTTTCCATACCTTACTCATGCAGTATTTATTTCATGTATTCCTGAAGAAGATGGGTAAGTTGATTAGAAGTATATAAAATATATGAAACTTCATTTGTTGAGGATTTTTCAGATTCTGTCATTTGAAGAATAAATACTACAAATCTATATGCAAAAATAAGATTAGGAGAGGAGGCTTGTGGAAGCAGAAAACTCAATTGTTCAGGGTATGTTAAGCTGTTTAAGCATTATTTAAGGAATAATAGGTTTACAAAATGGGCTGGATTTTGATGTAAGTGGACATGACTGCTGAGATTTATGGAGAAATATTGATTTATGCTGAGCAAAACCTCTTACGTATATTACTTTAAAGACATTTTGAGTGCAACAATTAACATGATGTATGAGAAAGAGCAACTAGAAATTATTTTGCTTATAAAATATTCCTAAAATATAACCCCCTGCAAACAACATTGTGTTCTCATTGTATTGGACATCTGGCTGGAATGGTGAGATTTGGCACGCTTTTTAGATCTATGTGGTTTTTTTACTGCTTGGCTTTACATGTTTTTTTTATGTTTAATTTATGGAATTAAGATAGCAAGTGCACTTACCTGATCTGCAAATCCATTTACAAGGGACAAATAAGGAGCTGGATATGTTGCAAAGATTTGTGCTGTTGCATTTGGTCCTGTGACTTCAAGTTTTCCATCACTATACTCCATAAAGGCATCTGTAGAAAAAAGCCAGCAACTGCTTGCACTTCTCTATGAACTTTTCTAGGTTTTCTAGGACTAGAATATATGTGATAGGTCTGTGCACTTCACTGTCTCAACTGAAACTGATCTCTAAAGTCCCTTCCAATCCAAACCATTTGGTGATTCTTTGATGTTTTTTTCCTAGGAGCACTATTATTGGATTTGAGGTGGTGTATTCCTCAGACCCTCCTGTCTCCTTTTTCCTCCTGTGCCTTGAAGTACTCATTTTATGTACCACAGCTTCCCTGGTCTTCCCCTGCTCATAGCTCCAAACTCAGTGCCAAGAAGCATTTTCCGATTCTGAATACAGATGTGTTATTCTGCAAGAGGTGCTGCATTTGTCATGATGACCCAAGAAATGCACAGCATCCTCATTCTCAGTTGTGGATTCCCAGCCACCAGGAATTACTGCCATTCCGTTTGACAATTGTGCAGTTTTAGAAATGGGAAGATATTAAATGGTTTACTCAAATCTTCATGGACAGATGTGAGTAACAAACTCTAATCTATTATTTTATTAGTGGATCTGGTGATGAGATGATACTTGTGAATAAAGAAATAGCTCCCCATCTCCCTTAGAAGTCATGATGAGGGTGATAAGCTCCTCCTGAACCCAGCAGACAAATATGTTTCTCCTTGTTTCTGTTTTTTCTAGCTTTGCTTAAAGTCACAACATGAGTGCAGAGAGTTTACTTAGATTAGGCTCTCATTTGAAGTGTCAGATAATTCTGTGGCATTTAACTGTAACAGGGGGGAAAAAGGGATGATCTCCTGTGTATCTTTTTCTACCGGTGACTACTTTCACGTATTCTTTGAGGTCCACTGAAAAGTCCTACAAGTTGCAGGAAGTAAAAGCTACAGAAGGTGTTTGGAAATTTAATAAGAGCAAGAGGAGGACTTGAGCAGCAAGCGATAGGGATATGAGAAAGTCCTGCACTCCTGAATACAAGGAAGATGTCCCTGACTTAGACCTAAGCTTCCTACTTTGGGTTCCTGCCCTACTGCTGCCCTTGTGGCAGAATACAGTGGCTCCCCTGTCAAACCTATGTATATGTTGACATACTGCTGCATCCTGGCCACAGCCCTAATTCTGTCAGGCTTGAGGACGACTTAAATTCAGATGGAAATCCTGTTCCAGAATTCCAGTATCCAAATTCTATCACTAACTTTAAAAAAAGTAAATTCTTCCCAAAACAGTTCTCATGGTTCCTAAAGATTTTTGTCTTTGGGATTACTGTGGGTACTGAGCACTGAGCTGATATACAAGGGGCATTTCCATTTTTGATCTTCCTCTGCTGCACCTAGACCCAGCACAGTCTGCAGACATAATGCCCAAAGGAGACAGATGTTGGAGGAGATGGGCTGGGCCACTGGAAGCAGAGTTTTGGGGTAGGAGGTTGAAGCAGGTGATCCAACTGTGTGGATTCAGTCAGTCAGTTACTGTTTTTTTCCTTTCTGGCACCCTGTGAAAAAAACCCTCTGCCTCAAGGATGGGGGAATTTTTTTCTTTTTCCCCTGTCAAATATGTGACCTGTTTATCACTGTACCTGGAATTCATTGCCTTGGAGAGTCACCTCTCAGGGGTGGTCTGATTTTTGGTCAGGAGGGACTTGATCTCATATCCTGTACCCTCAATGAACGATGTTGGTGATTCTTGCCTACAGGCACTTGTAGCAGGTCTTTAATGTTTCTAATTTGCCTGTAAGATGGATAGCCCTATATCCTGGCTATTAAGTAATTTAAAATCCTTACTGAGAAATACATGATCTCAGAGTATCTGATTTCCCATGAATAATTTTTTTAAATATCAGAACATTTCCTGGAGTATTAAGTGTTTCAGTAAATTTGTAGGGCACCTGGAATGTTCAAGCCATTGTTTTTCCCGTCAAACTCTTTATGCTACTTCCTTTCTTCTTTTGTTGCTTTAGCTTCATTCCTACCATTAGCCCTGTGTGAACAAGAGTCCTCTGCTTGCCTGACATTCATTGAAAAACTGGGGCCTTAGAGACTGCCTGACCTCTAGTTTGTCCTGTGAACATGTCTAAGGTGTACTCACTGTAATAAATCCCAAAGACAGCCGCTGCTCCAATGAATGCTCCCAGGAATTGTGCTAATATGTAAATTGGTAATTTGGTCCATTTTAATCTTCCAGTCACGCACATGGCTAATGAAACAGCTGGGTTTATGTGACCACCTGAAAAATAAATCAAAAATTGAGTCATGTGGATGACTCAGATACATGAGAATAAGTGAAGGATTTGTAAAAATGTGGGCATTTCTGAACACCAGAACAGTACATGGTTTTCTACATGCCATTTTGCAGTTAAATGCTGACTGCAATTAGACTGAAACAAGTTGGATGAAATCAGAGGAGGGAGGACAAAAGCCACTAAGATACATCTTTACTCTTGATGCTCGTGGACTGTGCTCTTTATCAGACTGCTGTCCTGCAGTATGCAACTGATAGACAACTTTTCTAGAAAAATAGTAACCTGCCCCATTGGTTGTGATGGGAGCGTCCCTTATTCTGCACATATTCCCTCTCCTCAAGGCCTTTGGCTTTTTATTTTTAGGAGAGAACTGGGGTAGAAGAACATTCCTTTAGTCTCCCAAACACTTACTAGGGTTAAGGACTGTTACTGGTTTGAGCATATATCTTAAGACAGTTCTGGAGTCCCCTGGATTTAAGTAATGTTTGTGTCCCTGTCTTCAGCCTGGGGTTACTTAGGAGCTCATTTTCATGGAGACAAAAATCAAATAACGTTAGGGCTCTCCAGTTTCATGTTGGCTGTTGGTGAACTGTGCCTACATGGGATCTTGGGGCAGCAGTGCATAGTCCTTCACCATGTTTTTATCTGGTTCTTGTGCTTTCTGGAAAGTCCATAATAAGGAAACGGATAAAGTATCTGTGCTGAAACAAAGTTCAGTTTCCTGTAGGACTTCCTTCCTTTTTTTATTCAGGAGTAGCTACATCTGAACTCACGCATGAAAAAGATTTCAGTAACACTGGAATTCTTCATGACAATTTTAATTTCTAAAATACATTTATTATGTCATATGGTCTCTTTCCTCAACGTCTTTTGTCAACAAAAAAGGTACTGTATGCTCTTGGAAAATTTAATTTTTTACAGATACATGGTTGCTACTTAAGAAATACAAATTGCCAAATAAATGAACAAGTAATTCTTTGTAATAAATACTGAATAATAAAACCCTCAAGTTTTGCAAGGACATAGGATCCTTTGCCTATTTTCCAGATAAGGTCTCATTTCAGTCTGTATGAATATCAGGAAAAAATGGCCTTTGTCTTTGGTAAAATAACTGAAAGAGTATGTCCCTTATCTGTCAAAGGTTAGTGATGGAGAAAGGGCCTCTATGTACAGTTTCTGTGTTTGTTTGCACTTCAGGTCAGTGAGTCATTATCTTATGAAATCCAGGCACCTTTGATACATAATGAACTGACAAACACAGATAACAAGCTGGATAAAACCTTCTTTGTAGTATTTCCAAATGCTGACCTAGTACTACCAGTCTTGAATTAAAAGTTGAATTCCTCACAGTGTTTCCAGTTCTTCGGCACAGAGCAAATAGATAGATGGCACCTAATTTAACAGCCCTTCATGTGAATTTTGATTAATTGTTGTCTTGTCTTTTGTTCCTTACTCTGTCTGGAATTAATAATTTTCTTTTCTTTCAACACCTGATTTTATTCCCCACTTGTATAAAATACAGGGTGACTATGATGGCCAGGACAAGTCATAATAATATTACAGAGGGCTGATTAACATTAAATATGGAAAGGAAAAGTCTCTTTGAAGGATCTTATGCTAACATTGGGGAGTTACAAGATTCTTGGTTCCTGTGCCACTGGTTAAAAAAAAAAGTTCACTTTGGACAGTGTATTCCTCCTTCTTTTGTAGTTGCAGTGATCACAGTCATGGCTTTGAAATGCTAAGTTGGATAAAATAGTGAGAAATTATCTAGATATTGAGGAAAAGTGGATGGAGGAAAATTAAAAAGGGGAATTTTCCTAAATTAAAAAGCTCAAATTCACCAAGCATGCAGACTATATATATTTTTAGCATTAATTTAGGATTACATAAAGAACTGATGAAAAATATTTTTGCAGTACTTAAACATGAAACTTTGACCCAAGACCACAGGAATTGCTAAAAAATTCTACATAAGAACTTGTATTCTGAAGTGTCCACTAATAATCATGTCCTGGATAATAACAGCCTGTTGAAATATCTGTTCCTATTTTTTCACAGAGAAAATGCACTGCATGCAGAATCCTTTGTCATGGGAAAAACACAGGAAGCACAATACTGCAACATCTGCAACTGCTCTGCCCTGCTGGGATTGAACTCTAATTTTCTACATAATGATGAAGATGAATATCCCTTAAAGGTGCAAATGTAGGACAGGTTTTTACAGGTTTGTTTTCATGATAGTGCATTAGAAGAGTTTAGCTGCCTCCATGTAAACCAAGAGCTGTAGTTGAAAGTTGTTCAGATAATAGGAATGTGCTGCTGAATTAATTTTGTGTGATATTAAGGAGCAGTTCTGGTTTGTGTCAATGACAGTGACAAGACTGCCTGTTTTTGTAGAACCTGGAGCACTTTCTAATGTGAGACTTTCTAATGGAAACCTTCTGCATGGTGCCTCTGTAAAAGAATTTGTAAAGAGAAGAGAAATGGCCACAGTAATTTCTGTTACAGCAACTATTTCTAATGCCCTAATTATACCTAAAGAAATTTGTCCAGACCAACTTTACCTCTTATGAAGGGTAAGAAATGCTTCTATGAGACCGGGAGTACAAGGGCACCATGTGCTTTAAAGGCCAATATAAACTCTGCATACAACAGAAAGTATTGTGTATTTTCATGGACAGCATTGTCATTACGACCCATCATTTTCTGTTTTAAAGGAAGACTTTAATTGTTAAAAGCAGTTATGCTAATGTTTCTGATATTAGTCTGGCCAAATTGAATGGTGGAACTAGGAGACAAGGCAGCATCCAATACGGCATTTGTGGACACTGGTTAGTTAACCCAGCTAACTTAGCCCCAGCTAAATATCAACTAAATCAGGAATCAACTAAAGAGAGATTCCTGACCAATACATGTTGAGCAAGTGTTACAGCAGAAATAAGGGGGGAAGGACAGTACAGGGGCAGTGTGTCATTGAAGGTATCTCTGGTACCGAATCTTTATGCTGTTTCTGCTTTCTATGATCTGCTGCTTCTGTGAATAATTGGACAGGAGCAGACTTGATATTGCCTGTCATAGGACATGAAGAAATAAATTGCACTCTGCAAGGTGAATCCTGTTTATTATACCCATTAGTGGGTCATTCTGCTTTCTGTGTAGCTGGCCACCATTTTATCTGGTGACTGCTGGATTGCTCTTTGTGGTTATTTCTTTAAACACAGTGCCTGTCCTGCCCAGGATTGTCTCTGTTGACAGAATTTTCAAAGCAACACCAAGCAGATTTCTGGTTTGCATGCAACACTTCCCATAAAACCCAGATGTCTGTCAAGGTTTTCACACTGTAGTTGAGATCAGAATTTGGTGGAACATTTTGTCAAACACGAAGAATAGAAGGAAATTAGAACACACAAGATTTACTCAGAAAACTCCGGTGTGGACTCTGCTGTAATGGTGCTTACTGTTGCTAATTCATGATTGGTCATGCCATGAAGTGGAAGCCCTTTAACAAGGGAGTCTTAACACTGTAGCAATAAATGCTATATAAGAAAAAATTCACTTACCAGAAACGCCCCCAGACACGTACACTGCTATGGTGACTGCCATGGCAAAGCCCACCGACACCGTCATGGGCCCTCCATGCGCTCCGCGGCTGAGCACGGCCTGCCCCACACAGCCACAGCCAAGAGCCTGCATTTGGAAAGACAAGTGTAAAATCACCGGTGTGTCTGTCAGATGTCATTGATTGTGACTTCTGCTGTCCTGATGTAGCTGCAAATGCTGGTCAGTACTGAAACGGTGCTAGAATTTGCCATGTGTGCCATTGCTGCCTTTTCTGCAATGCACCTTTGCTCCTTTGCTTTTTATTTTCCTTGTCTCTGTCACGAGGAAGAATGTCTGCTAATGAGGACCTCTCTCCACACAGAAAACTGTTCTCAGGCACAATGAGGAAATACTGATCAGAACTTGGAGCCGAGCAAGACTGCACTGCCTCTACAACAGAACTCTGCATCTGAAAGTGAAATTAATTCTGTGAGGTAAGTTCTTAATTCCAGACTGATGTGATAAGTGATGAAAAATTTACTGTAAAAATTATGAAAGATAGTTCAAAAAGCTTTTAATGTTTAGTGCTGAAACTATGGATTGAGACAACTTTCTGGTATTTACATTGTGTGTTATTGTTATGCTGACTTATATCATATATTGCTCTAGCAAAATATTTCACTGTCTCTGCAGCTTGAATGATTAACTGAAGTGGAGATATCTAAATAATTCACATTGAAGAATTCTAAATGGATTTAAACTAGTTTTGGATTTTTGTTGGTTCTCCTCAGAATAAAGTTCAATAACAGGTTTAAATATTTGCTTAAGATGCTGTTTGTTCAGTTCTAAACCCTCTGCTTACCTTCAAGCATATGTTTAGAGCCTATTAAAGATGACAGGAAAGATATTCAAAGAGACAAAAACTTTTTCATTTGAGATAGACTAGGTGATCCATTTCTGTGTCTTTGAAAATCTTTTTAAATATATGCCTATGTGCTCTGCTGAACAAGGAGTTAATACTCTATGGAAGCTCTGAAATAATTTCTATTATTAAAGTCTGAAAGCTTTTGTTTCTCTGCAGCTGTAAGTGATGTGAATCATACAATTTCTGGGATGTGACTAGATACATGTTGAGCAACCTTAATTGCTTATTTTCAATTGCAAGGCAGTTGAATTCAGAAACTGCAAAGTAATGGGAAAATCTCTCTTGCCTTAGAAACAGACTGTACCAAAATGATTTGGTGATATCGGTTTAACAAGCAAGTCCTGCTAGAATAGATGCATTTTAAACAGGAAAATCATACTCTTGTTTCCATTATTTCCCGAAGGGTTTTAACTAATACCAAAATGTGCCAGAAAAGCTCTCAATAAAATTACACTCTTAACCAGTTTTTTAATGCAGACGGTGTTTCTAAGTGCCCCAAGACTGTGTCATATGCCCAGGTGCAGTTCTTGCCTTGGGGTCATAATCATGTAAGCAAACAAAACACTGACTGGTGCCAGAGTGTTGCAGCTCTGGTTATGTAAGGGTAGGGTGGTGTTAGATAGCTACAGTTTATTGGACTGTATAATTAAAAGCTCCAGGACACAATGCAAGCTCCAGTCAGCTGCTGTGCAACAGATGACCTGTGCTTGCATTAGCCATGCTCTCACCTAGCAGTGCATGTAGTAAGCACAAATGCATATATAGCAAACCAAAATAAAACACATTGGTGGTGTTCCCAGGCTGAAATGACATCTTTTTTTAAACTTCATATGAAACAATTCATAATGTGTTCATATGATTAATATAGAAAGAATGAAGAATGGGTATGCTGGAATTCATAAGAATCTAGAGGAGGTGGAATTTAAGATACTCTAGTCATCACTTTCCAGATGTCTCAAAGGGAGTATTCCTGCAACTGCACCAAGCAAAATTTTTGGGAAAGATATGGCTCAGATGAGGAGCAAGTTCAGTAGGCTGCTCTGGGCCCCTGCACCTACTGGGGTGCAGGTTGAATTCAGGCAACCAGCTCAATCTACAAGTATAGTGTGCACTTGTGTTCTGAAATGGCACAGGCAAAGTTTTTCAGATTCAAAGGCCATTCTTTTGAAGACATTACTTCTTTCTGTAAGATGATGGAAAAACAGAGCAACAGTAGAGGAGATAGAGAAAAGGATAGGGGATAGCAACATCTGTGTATCAACTACATTTGTATATCAACTAAAAATTCACAAGAGAAGGGAAGGAAATAATGGAGGGAGACTGTGGCCTCCCTACCTTTATTACCAGAACTGAGGAGAGTCATACAGAACAGCTGTATGACTCTTGCATTGTAGCTGCTGCTCTGCAGGTCTTGGGGAAATACATAACTACAGATGTTCCATTTCTATGCTAACCAGTCTCTCTTCTACAGAGAAGACACGTGAGCCAGCTGGAACACAGCTGCACTCGTGGACCTGCTATGTACAATGACTTAATGCTACTGCAGGCACAGTCAGTGTGTGCCCATCCAGGGATGGGAAAACTGGGAGCTGAGCCTGCAGGTCTGAGCTGTGTCACTGTAATACTTTCTCCATTTGCTGACCTTTTAAGAAGGAGAGAAAAAAGTTGCTTAATACCTACTGTAGCTAGGTTGGCGCAACTGGAAACTATCACCTAATCATGTAATTACACAAACAGCAATTTAATACCTTGTAAGTCCTTGCTTGACTGAAGACCAACTAGATCATTGAGTTGTAATTAAATATTCTAAGATTTTAGGCCAAGTTCAGCCATCAGCTGTGCTTAGAAATCTCATTGATTGAAGCACATGGATTAAATGGGAGTTTAAGTTACGGAGGATATAGCCGGTCCTCCTTATCTTATCTTGTCTATCTTATATTACCAGGTTTTCCTCTTAGCAGTTGTCTATAGCCTGATCTGCTTAAAATTACTGGAGTACTTTCAGCACTGACTTTTTTTTTGTTCATAAAGTCATTAGATTATTGCCCTGAAGAACATGCTTGGGTGTGGAATGGCTGTCTAAACCTCTGCCAAAAAAACTTGCTTCATAGCCCATTAGATCATTCTCTTTGTCTTGGACAACAAGGCTAATGTTAGGAAAGGAAAACAACTGGCCTTCAATGAGTGTAAGGTCCTTTTACTGTCTGGAAGCCTACAGGACTTTCTGTATCCCACTCATCAGAGAGACTACAGATCATTTTGCCTCCATCTTACTATCTCCAGGATTTTTCCAAATGCTTGTAATAGCATTTTTCAGTGTAAATAGGATTTTTGCAAGATCTGAAACCACAATTTTAGGGTATCTATTTTTCTACATGGCCAGTAAAGTTTTAGACATCTTAAAGAATGCTTATATTAAAAAGCCCCCTTGTTATCACACAGTCCTAGAAGTGGTGTACATTTATAGGCAGACCCTCTGGCTGTCACATTAAAGAGGCAGCCAAGCTTTTTAGCAATGTGGGCAATGAGCTGTGCCGTGCTGGACTCTACATCCCCAGCTCCAGCTGTGGTAAGACACACACCTGCAGTGGGCTCCACAGGTGCCCCTGCAGGCAGAGTGTGCTCTCAATGGCTGCACAGCTGATGATGCTGTGCATGAGTACAGGAACTCAGTGTGTTATAAGGAATACAGTCACCAGGTGCAAAAAAAAAAAAAATCTGTATTTAATCATAAACTGCTCACTTCAATCATGAAATCCTAGAAAAATAGTGGCTGCATTTGCCCTTCTGTGCAGGTAGGGATCTGTGCCTACAAAAACTTTTATGTTCTTCATGGTGTACAGTAGTCTTGTGCAGTTCCCCTACCTAACATTAATATTTCCAAGTAGGATTAGCTACGTACAAAAGTAGTAAATAATCTTTTCAGTTTGAGGTGTGGTAAATTGGTGCTGTCTTCCTAAGGGAGTGTGTTTTAGAACTTGCTTTCATCTCCACCCCCTTCATTTACAAAGCAAGTCTGCTTAAGAATTTACCTATTGTATTTCATAATAAGATGTTTTATAATACTGGAAACTTTCCACACAGAGATGTATTTTTGCTGTGTATTACAAAGGATCTTAATTCAGACAGGGTTCCTAAGCATTCTTTCAACAGGGACAGTAATGATAAAAGCAACAAAAACATGTTAGATCTTCTAAATTTTACAGTATTAGCTATGCAAGAACTCAGGTTACAGGAAAACTCTTTCAGGCAAGACCAGTCCTCATCCAATTTAATGTTTAATATTTGCTATATTTTGCTAAATCAGACAGTACTTAAACTTTCAAAGGTGAGATAAAAAATGCAGCTTACCAGTCAAGCTTACCAGTCACAGCTCTTATTTTATTATTAATGAAATGTTTTGGTGAGGTGGGAGGATGTCTGTATGTTATGATTTAATCAAACTTAGAGCAATAAAAAGTCACTATATTCGTTTTCCTGATGTTCTTCTGGGAAACAACCAATATCTTCTTGGGTTCAGATGGATTTCAATTTTTTTCCCGATTTGCTATCTCATAAATAAAGGGTGCAAAAACCCCCAAGCCCTTACATTTAGTTAATTAAATAGTATAGACATAAGCCTTAAAATTATTGCCATTTTGAAACCATTTTCTACTGACAGAAAGAGACATTGCTACTTGGAGACATGATTGTAAATTTAATAAGACTTTTGATGATTTGTGTATATAAAGCTTTAAAAACATATAAATATCAGGTTCAAATTGCTTTGTAGGAAAAAATAGTGAGAATATTGAGGGACAGACTACTATGCTGTGTTATATAAACTGATGCTTTTAAATTTTATGATTGCTTTTGCATATGCAATAGGAGACAAATAAAAGTTTGAAATCACCTAGAGAGAATGCAAAAGTATGCATTTTCTCATATTTTGTTATGATTAATATTGCACACTCCATCCTGAAATGCTAAATGCTTTTCTTTCCTGAATTATAGAGGGCAACTGATTTGAGTCAGTTTCTTCGATGAAGACTGTTTTTATTTTCTTACTAATTTTTACAAATTCAGGAAAGAAAAGAAAATGTTATATTCAGACACAAACTTTCAAGAGTGAAACATTGCCTGTTGTATCAGGGCTAGAAAGAAAAGGGAGGGCAAAGGAACAAAATCTCACCTAGCAGCTTTGAAGAGAAAAAGAACCTATTCAAGCACTGCTTCCCTCCCACCTTACTCATTTGTTCTTGAGCTATGATAATTTGCTTCCTACCCCAACTGAAAAGCTTTAAATCTTTCTAAACTCCTAAAATATGTTTAGTCTCTGCACCAACTCCCAGGGAATTGTAGCATTGAGAGAGTGTGCAAGAGTGGGCATTGCAGACTCTGAGAAAGGAGGTTTTCTGTTCTGTCTTTGGAGTATAAGGTTGCCTGTTCCTGTTCTTTTACCTTTGGGTGCAGAAACAGGCGGGGCTGGATCTCTGCTGTGCCCTCATGGTTAGAGGTACGTGGTTAGGAGTAATTAAAACCTAAGCTGTTTGCTGTTGAAAAAAAAAAGCTGAATGCTTTTAATAGTAAAGAAACCTGTGATGAATGGGTAAGAGGAACTGAGCCACATTTGCCTTAAAACTGAAGTGTGGATTGGAGAGCTCCCTAGAATTTACTTTCAGGCAGAATGGTTTATTGAACTGTTGAGATCGCAAAGATATAAACTCACTGCATAGCACAAACTACATTTATTGTCTTTTATTCCGTTCTCCAACTGTTTATGACAGCTTTAAAAAGTTACTACTTTTATAACCTTTCTTTTATTTGGTGAAACTTTTGAAAAAACACCTTGTAAATTTGTGTCTGTAAAACATTAATTCAAGTTTTGCACTTACAGTTGAATGTT